TGGTTTATATCGAAATCCTCCGACATTCTTCTTTACAAATCCTCGTTTTGTACTTCTAATTAGTGACCTTTGTTTTGTTTTGATCTCTCCGCTGAGCTTCCGTGTTCGTCACTTCTGAGCGGCGAATGCGCAACGCCGACGTCTTACGTCATCCGCCCGGAACTGCTTCCGTTTACAACAGTGAGCGCAAGCTAGATTAAATTGATTATTACATTTTAAATATGGTTATTTTCTTACAAAAACGCATCGATTCGCTACAGAAGGACTTTGTTCACACCCCGGAGCCGTGTGAGGCACTTTTTATTATGGATGGATGTGCTTTATTTCACTTCTTTTGGACTGATGCATGCAACACCCGCTGACTGCCATTAAACAGCTTGGAAGATCAAAGACAATTTTTAATATAACTTCGACTGGATTCGTCTGAAAGAAGAAAGTCATATCATCTAGTCTGATGCCAAAGTCTAGGATGCCTTGAGGGTGAGTAATTCATGGGCTAATTTTAATTTTGGGGTGAACTAACCCTTTAATGTGTCATTTTCCATGCATACAATGTTGAAAATATGTAAAAAAAACAAACAAACAAAAAAAACCATATATATACATATATAAAAAAACATACTTATATGCACTTATATGACAGTGCATAGTAATGAATATATATATATATATATATATAGTTCAAGTTCAAGTTCATTTTATTTGTAGAGCACATATACAACAGACACCAGGTTGACCAAAGTGCTTTCCAGAAGAGCAACAGTTTTACCACATACACAGAGAACAAATCAGACAAAAATTTAAAACCGCACGTTTAAAAATTACCATATCACAGACGAAGCTGATAGAAACTGGACCCAATGACAGAAGGGATATGTTTATCAAATTTTAAATACTGGTCGACTAGAATACCTAGGTTCCGCACCCGCGAGGATCTAAAAACGGATAAACTTTCTAACTCAGGGCTTATACACTGAGAGTTATCATTTGGACCGAAAACAATTACCTCGGTCTTGTCTTCATTTAGGAAGAGGAAATTTTGGGCTAGCCATGATTTAACCTCCTCTAAACATTTCAGAAGAGAAGTAATCGCAGTGGAATTGTTTTTCTTGATTGGTAGATAGATTTGAGTGTCATCTGCGTAGAAATGAAAAGACACACCATGTTTTCGTAGAATAGAGCCCAGAGGTAACATGTAAAGAGAGAATAGAGAGGGAGCTAAAATAGAGCCTTGTGGAAGGCCACAGGTCAGAGGAGCAGGGGAAGAGGAAAAATTACCCAACTTCACTAAAAACTTTCTGTCAGACAGGTATGACTGAAACCATTTCAGAACGTTTGCTTTTAGACCTACCCAAGACTCTAATCTAGATAATAGTGAGGAGTGGTCTATGGTATCAAAAGCAGCCGATAAATCTAAAAGAATAAGAACCACAGAGTCTCCGGAATCAGTAGAGAGGTAAATATCATTTAACACTCTCAAAAGGGCGGACTCAGTGCTGTGAGCAAACTTAAAACCAGATTGAAAAACCTCATAAATACAATTACTAGTCAGAAAACGTTGAAGTTGATTCAGCACAATTTTCTCCAAAACTTTTGAAATGAAAGGTAAAAGAGAAATAGGCCGAAATTTTTTTAGGACAGAAGGATCCATCTATATATATATATATATATATATATACTGTGTATATACTGTATATAGATATATTGCCCAGTCCTTTCACATATGGCTTTGTGTTCTGATGTGTACTGATTCATCAAACTCACCAAAATACTGTGTTGGACCTTATTTTGTCAACATTACATACTTTTGTGGTTTGCTTCTTCACTGGAAATCAAAGTATAAAACCGGGCCCAGTAATCTGGTATTGTGTCTTTTTTCTTCCATTGGGTGACAGCAGGTTGCAGAGATTTCGTACTGGGACACCAGTGCCACCATGTGGTGTTCAGTCTTACAGATTTGTGTTTGGTGGTCAGTCTGCCGTGCAAGCACTGGTCAGCAACAGAGCTACAACAACTCCATTAGAATTCACTGCGGATCATCTATCATGCAGGAGTGGCATTTTCAGGCTGTGTGTGATATTGCCAATGCCTTTTGTTGCATACAATTATGAACTGATGCGTCTCATGTCTTGGAAGTGATTTGTTGAGATTGTCAGTTGCCTTAGAAATCTGTGAGTTCAAAGCAAAAAAATTCCCGATTACATTTTCATATTTTAATTAAAGTCACGTTCGAAATCAAAACAAGTTCAATTTCCTACTTTTTAATTATTCCAATCAAATTCCTATTGAAGTGAACTGATTACTAAAGTTATTTAATCAGAAAAAAAAATTTAAACAGTGCCACTGCTTGTTAGCATTAAAAGTATGAACTCATTACTTAAATATTTAAATTATGAAAAGCATCATTGGGAGCATAGATATAGCGGCCCCAAAAAGAGTTTGCATAGTTAAACCACACTTTTTTTTATAAAGCTATAAAATAAGACAGATTATTGGAGTATGTTTTACAAGAAACTAGCCGAAGTAGTAGTATTACTATTAGTAGTAGTACTTCCAGTTTTAATGTGTTAAATGCCTTTTCTTTGTAATTATTTGTGAAACTAGCAATTTTCTAGCACAAGCACACTTTTCATGCAAACATTTAACAAACAAAGGTTAGTAACACTTTAGTATAGGGACCAATTCTCACTATTAACTAGTTGCTTATTAGCATGCATATTACTAGCATATTGGCTGTTTATTAGTTCTTATAAAGCACATTTTCTGCATGACCATATTATACATCCTTAATCCTATCCAATACCTAAACTTAACAACTACCTTACTAACCTTTATTAAGCAGTAATCAGGAGTTTATTGAGGCAAAAGTCATAGTTAATTGTTAGTTAATAGTGAGAACTGGACCTTAAAATAAAGTTTTAGGTTTGTTGGGCTTTTAGATACTAAAACAGTAGATGTACTGTTCAAAATGAAGACAAAAGTACCACTTTATAGTTGTGAAACTGTGATGGATCATGTTTTTATTTACTGTAATAAATTACAGTACACCTGTGTGAACTTCAGGAGAACTGACTTCATACTTTCACTAAAAATCATCAGCATGCCAGTTAAATAAAAGTCAATGAACAAAACTGATGAAGAAAAGTGAAGAGAAATGATCTAGCAGCATTTGTGTCCACTTGGTTTAATAGTGTATTATCTAATGCAACAAAGAGTGTTTTTTTCCTTTCACTTTGTGGCCACTGTAAACCAAATGCATTTATTTCAAAAGAGGTAAAAGTGATTCTGATTGGAGATTTGCCAGGCAATCCAAATTGCCAAGTCATCCATTGTGAATTAGGAAGTAGTGGTGCATTCTTGGCAGCAAAGCACCTCAAGCTAGGTGTTCCATATACATAAAATGATTTGTGAAGTACAACTGGCCCAAGAGCCGAAGAGAAGTGCTGATGCGTTTCAGATTGGCCGGTAGCTTCTGTAATCACATTCATATTTTAATATCATTGTGTGTGTTTGTGTACGATGTAAAGGCAGGGACGACACGGGGAGTGATTTCCAACTCTTTTATTAACACAAAACCAGGAGAAAACGGCGAGCACGTGAGACGAGGTTGAGAGGAGCACTGATGGTATCGTGGCTGCAGCTGGGGGCTAAGTGGAGGTCCTGCACTCTCAGGCCATCCATCCACCGGAGAAAGCAAAAAAGCCTCCGTATTCCAGTGTCTAACTGAAAGAGCAGCTTTTAAACAGAGATTTAATAAACTAATATCAAAGCTTTCCCCCCAAGCACCTCATGGGAGAAGGAGCCAAATTCATTAGAGGCCCACTCAGCTTAGGCAACCCAGATGACAAACTGTTTCACACATTTTTTTCGCGGCACTAAATATAACTTGCCCCACCCTCCCTCACACATACTTCCTACTCTTTTTCTTTTCATACTAGATGCTTGCTCATTTTATGATACGATGATGCATTTTGGGTGAAAAATACTACCTACTTTACAATTCTACTCTCTTTATTCACTGATTTATGCACTACAGTTCAATCACAGTGTTTGCAAGGCAGCATAATATTGATATTTCTCAATTATTCTGGTCAGAGTTTGAGCGATGCACAACATATGTGTTGATATTATATGTTTTTACTTTTTTTGGTCTTGATCAATATTGGATCTTATTTGTGCATGTTCACTTCTGACTAATTTTTATGTTTAGTTTAAATTTGCCATCGTCTAATGCTCACTTAACGTAAATTTTTAATAGCATTAATAATTTAGTCTTTCCTAGTTTAATTTATAATATGAAGATGATGTCTAAATTTACTTGTTGATTTTATTTCAGTGTTTATTTATAGCACAAAATACAATTTGACTATGAATTATTTATTGTTAATTAATAATTAACTAATAATTAATTATTACTAAACTTCAAACTTAAGTAGTTCTACAATTTGTTTGGCCCAAACCACTTTTCGTACAGGTACAGAATTGTGTTGTTTTTTTTTAGATCATTTTAAGTCATTTCAGTTTATTTTTATTTATTTACTTATTTTTGCATACTAGATTGCAACTGGTCTTGTCTTCAGTTAAAGTGTGTAAATTCTCCATCATTAGTGTCACCAAATGGAATAGTTTTCAACCAGGTTTCAAGCACTCCAGCACAGATGAATAACCCCACCCTAAACTCACAACATTGGTTGTGCAAAAGTTGATGTGTCGAGCTAGTCTTAATGCTCAAACAACACAGAGTCAAACACTGAATAGGAATATGCCTACTTCTGTACTTGTGGAATACTACTTCTTCCATAGTAAGCGAAAACCAGTACACCAAAAGAGTAGTATGTCCAAATTCATAGTATTTGAAAAACAGCAAGCAAAAAGCACTCAGATTACCTACTTTATCTACCAAGAATCGAGAGTGCACATTGGATGGACTCTCAACTATCCCATGAAGCCGTAGAAGACAAGTTTTGAATGGCAGTGTAGCAATGACATTGACGGCTGGTCTTAATGCTCAAACAACACAGAGTCAAACACTGAATCGGAATATGCCTACTTCTGTTCTTGTGGAATACTACTTCTTCCATAGTATGCGAAAACCAGAACACCAAAAGAGTAGTATGTCCAAATTCATAGTATTTGAAAAACAGCAAGCAAAAAGCACTCAGATTACCTACTTTATCTACCAAGAATCGAGAGTGCACATTGGATGGACTCTCAACTATCCCATGAAGCCGTAGAAGACAAGTTTTGAATGGCAGTGTAGCAATGACATTGACGCTGGTAGGTCAAGTGACAGTAAGAACAAATGTGAATTTGATTCATACTACCCATGTTCATGATATGCAGAACATACTTTTTTAATGGTTGTGAAGTAATTTTCAAACAAATGTAGTATGCACATTTACTCTTTTATAGCCATATAATGAACTATGCTGATTCCTGTTTACAGGCGGGGGGAAAACAGGATGTGCTTACACCAAATAAAAATTAAAACCTTAACCTAAACTTCCTTTGCTGCCTTGCAAACACTGATATTTCCTACCAGAAATGTGAATCTAGGCGTTTCTGTGCTGTTGGGGTGAGCGAGAGGAAAGAGGTGTGCTGTTACTTCTTCCTGGTGGGAGTGGGGGACTTCATGCCGCGGGGTGCTGCAGAGGATTTGGCATTTTGGGGAGGAGCCGGAGACTTGGCCGCAGCAGGGGCAGGGGTGGCAGCCTTGGCAGTGGGAATTACGATGGGAACTGTGGGAGGCATGATCCTCTTGGGTGAGGGTGTGGGTTTGATGTCTGGAATCTTGTCGCCGTGTTTGTACACGCTGACGATGATGTCCACCGACTCGCCGCCGTACTTGTTTAGGACCGTCATGGTGTACTTGCCGGAGTCCTCCAGGGAAACGCCTTTGATGGTGAGGCTGGCGAACTTGCCCGAGTCCATGGCAATGACGTACTGATCACTGAGTTCTAATTCTTGATCGTTCTTAGACCAGCTGACCAGAGGTTTGGGGTCACCGCAGACTGTGCAGGTCAGACTCAGAGTCTGAAGAAAATAAAAACAAATGCATAAACGCATATTAATCTAAAAGCATCCTCAGTGGAAGTAGGTTGTCATTATAATGCTAAAGGCATAAATATGAGAAACAGCATGACTACATTAAGCAGATGCGCATAATTCTGAATGATAATATGAAATTCTGATGGTGCAATGGCAACTAAAAATCCTATGCATCTGTCTTTAACATTAAGAATAAATGTATAAAATATATTTTTTATTTATATATACTTGATATTTTACATATATTCAATATTCTTTTGACATCTATATATTTTTTTCATTAATCATATTAATTCAAATTAAGTGAATATAGACAAGTTATCATTCATAAAGTGACCATATCATTTTTTTCTGAAACCCTTTCATTAAAATATTTCCATAAATTAACACATAAATAAAGACATTTAAAATGTACTGCAGAACAGGAATGACCCTTTTTATTAATTTGTTGGTCTATACCTTCTTGCTGCATTTCTTCACCTTAAGAATTTTACAGTGAGAAACCAATTTCTGAAGAATGTGTCTAGCCTGTACATGACAGCATGAATCTAATGCTGTTTTTAGATTTATGTAGCTTTTATTTTGCCACAGTTATATTTTTTTCCAGTTTACGTGACATATTTCACCGTAATGGATTTCAACAAAATGACTCATTTGGGCTTTTTAGGGAGAAGAGCAGCTCAATGAAAACTAAAATATACAGTATGAAGCCCTGCGGTGGGGAGCTCTCACTGGAAAACCAGTGTGTACGTGACCTCTGCAGGTCATCGTGTGAAAGGTCTCTTCTCCCACATGAGTTTGCTTTAATGCAGTGGTTTTCAATCCTGGTCCTGGGGACCCATCGCTCTGCACATTTTATATGTCTATCTTATCTGACACACCCAGTTCAGTTCATGGAGTTCTCTCCTAAAGAGCTGCTGATCTGAATCAGGTGTGTTAAATAAGGAAGACACACAAAATATGCAGAGGGGTGGGTCCCCAGGACCAAGATTGAAAACCGCTGCTTTAATGGATCTAAGAGCCACTGACCTGCTGTTTATTTGATCTGAAAGAGAAAAGGATGCCGGGTGTTTCCAGCATCAACTATTCAGGCGAATCCTAATCCCACCAATATCCTTTCACAGGCAGAATACACCATATTCCCCAAGCTGGCTTCATGCTTGCAAGCAATGGATTATGAAGCCAAAGACAAAGGACATGGATCTTAGGGAGCGGAGGAGTACGACGCCCTCCAGCGCACACTCCCAGGGCTGAAGTGAAAAGCCGCAGAACGGCACTCACCGGCACGACTGCCTGCGGCAATACAGATCACTAATGCATTGGCTACAGCTCTCCATGGGTGACTGAAAGGAATGCTCTGGGTGCAATACAAGTTTAGGCCTACTGACAACATTTGAGGCATAATGTTGATTACTACAGAACATAATGTTGACTCATTGCTCAGTTTCTAAAAGCAAACAAAAATCATGGCTAAGGTAAAGAACATTCAATGGATGTCTATGGGGACAGTGTTCTGGGGGTTTCTAAACAGAAACGTGAAGTGCATAGTTTGGTCACTTAAGTTTGGGGACTAGTTCTCACAATTAACTAACTATTACCTATAACTTTTGCCTCAATAAACTCCTAATTTGCTGTTTATTCATAGTTAGTAAGGTAGTTGTTAAGTTTAGGTATGGGGTAGGATTAAGGGATCTAAAATATGGTCATGCAGAATAAGGCATTAATATTTCCTTCTATATACTAATAAACAGCCAATATGCTAGTCATATGCATGCTAACAATACATACAATATCACATCACACTCCATATAATTATATGTATGTATGTATGTATGTATAGGCATATTTTGTGGTCTTGACATGATTTTCTTCAAAGGGAAGTCAGATCAGAATCCAATTTCAGCTTAAACAAACCTTCTTTTCCATGATAGTTACAACATCAGGAAGACCACCAACCACTTTGCCACGATCTGACAGTGAAAACATCACAAAGTTAATTTTAGGAATATAATTACATATCAGCTATGACAGCATTTTTTCATCCCTGGATTTCCCTAAATACATCTCCTGTGTGTGCAGCTGCAACAGTGGCCTTTATAATTATAATTATAAACACATCTACACGGGATCAATTCCAGAACACGTGTTTGGGTTGACCATCTTTGTTATAACTCTTTTTTTTTCCTGAGTGGAAAAAGCCTTTAAAAATAGACAAAAACATTTCGAAAACATGACAGTCTTGCCATCACCTTCAACATTGATGTGTTTTTCTCATTAATGCTGATTCTGCTAGGGAGGTTAAAAGTATCTGAGCTGTTGTTGAAGTATTTCACGTGATACTCAATTAAGTTCAAATGTAATTGGGTTCTTTTTCGCAATACTCCCATTCAGGCATCATACATTTTTCATATATTTTCCCCCCTGAGGTCCAATTATAATGTTTAGTAAAGGTTGTTTTATGCTAACAGTTAATAACTTAGTTTGCTGTGACTACTCACAACCCTCTCTCTGACCATTAAAATTAAACGAGGAAGTTTTTTTTTTTTTTTTTTTGCTGGTTTAAATTTTAATAAAATGGGGTACATGAAGTGACACAATTGCTAAACATTTTGTTTCTACTTAATTTAATTGTGTTCAATCTACTTAAATATGTAAAACTGTTTGTTAAAAAAAAAAGTTTACTTAATTTGGTGGGTACTACCAAAAAATGTTTGTATCATAAACTGAAACAAGGCAGTGGTTTTTTATTTCACAGCATGTTTTGCATATGGTTGGATCAGAAGAGTAAATGTTGAAAGTGTTAAGATGTTGACTTGAAGTGTTTTTGAGTAAAGGGAAAGACCTGGTAGTGTTCAATGATCAATTAAATTTTTGTGGTTACCATTGAGCTGAAGCGTGGTGCTGGTCACACTTTATTTTAAGGTCCAATTCTCGAGATTAACAAACCATTAACTATGAATTTGGTCTCAATAAACTCCTAATTTGCTGTTTATTAATAGTTAGTAAGGTAGTTGTTAAGTTTAGGTATGGGGCAGGATTAGGGATGTAGAATATGGTCATGCAGAATAAGTGGAGAACCGTTTTTACATACCAGGTACGTATTGCGGCGGTTCAGAATTCAAATATCCGGGGACTGTCGCTAAAAGTTAATGCTCGTGTTGGAAATATGCCCTACACCAGACCCAACCCTAAACCTACCCGATAGTGTTAACAAATGCAAAACTGATATAAAAACGCAAGTGGATGCAACCGTGCCATTTGAACGTCCTTATATGCAGATTTGAGCTGTTTTGTCGAACCGTAGTTACACGGGATTCAAACTGGAGCTCCTCACCTCTCAACTACGTCTCCGTACTTCCTGAGCTACCGAACAAACCTACCGTCTATGAAAACCCATAGATATGAAGATGGATATGTGTGATGCTAACATTCAAAAGCAAAAGTTTTCAAATCTCCCAGCATATTAAAATTGTTTAGAAGTCATAACATAATACTCGGTTACACTTTATTTCGATAGTCCATTTTAGACATTCTATTAACTATAAGTAACTTTGTAACTACATGTCAACTACATGTCAACTAATTCTCATTAATTTGCAACTACATGTCTACTAACTCTCAGAGTAGACTGTTAAGGTTAGGTTTAGTAGAGTAAGTTGACAAAGAAAGTGTTAGAAGATATTAAGCAGACAGTCTACTAATACTCTACTAACTGCTAGTTGACTTGTAGTTGCAAAGTTACTTACTGCTAATAGAATGTCTAAAGTGGACTATCGAAATAAAGTGTTATCTAATATTCTTCAAGTAATTGTGCGAAAATTACGCTTTATTAATCGAAACTCTGTAAATTTGTGTGAACAGGAATAAAAGGTGTTGGAGTTATACTGCCTCTAGTGTTCATTTCTTTTGGAAACTGCAGTGATATGTACTTATTGGTATTTTGCATATTTTGCATCTCGCGAAAAAGTGCCCCTAGGTACGTTTTTGCCATGAGACCAGGTAGGTTAATAATAGGCATGCTAATAAGCAACTAGTTAATAGTGAGAATTGGTCCCTATACTAAAGTGTTACCGTGGAGCTTGTAGTTAAGGTTGTGGGTGGCTACATTAATTAAGTTTATAGTGTATGTTTCTCCATTCAAAGAGCAATAATTGCATTGCTCAACATCAATGCAGTGACGAGTAACTTCCTACCGAAAAAAATCAAGTGTTCATATTACTCACAATTTATAAGTAATAAGTTGTGTAATGTATTGCTGAATGTTAATTAGACTTTACCTAAATTATTTTAGTGTGTCGTAGCTGGTAAATGTAGGTGCTCTTCAGTCAACACATGGGAAGAATTCTACCCAAACAAATTGAGTGCAAATTGCTACCTCAGTTTTGTTGAGTATAGTCTATAGGTTTGTTTTTACAACTCACGTTCTTCGGAGAGGTCCAGGGTACGAGAATGCATCTTCTCGGGATCCACAATCTCAATAGTGTACATTCCTTTATCCTTATCAGTCGTTTCGACTATCTCCAAAGTTGCCATTGCTGGGTTGCCACCAATTCTCATCCTTTCTGATGCACTGATTTTAGAATCCCTTGAAGTACAAAGAGTAAATGAATGCAAAGAAACCCATTAATATCTGTTCATCACTGAGAGAATGATAAAACCAATACAATCACAAGCATGCTTTTAACATGTTACACCAAAGGCCTGTTTAATCCCAATCCCTTTTTAAGATCAATTGTTTGCTCATTTTCCATAGAGTAAATGCTCTCAAAACGTTAGACATGCCTTTTTTTTTTAAGTGGGGCATCAAATTAGCATGTCCCTAGTGTAAAATTAGACACGGCGGGTGTGCCACGACTGAATGTGAAATTTCCCCTGCATTAATACCTGCTCTGCATGTGATTCAAAACGTGCAACAGGGTGAGGAAAGACCCAGAATAGCCTCTTCAAAATGCTAATACAGGGATTTGAGAAGCCATGGGAGCAGGAAGAGGCTTTTCTCACTGCGTTAGAATTTCACATGCTACTGAATCACCTCCAGGGCAGAGCATTAGGCAACTGCAATCAGAATGATTTGTTTTGTGTCGACAACAGAGCGAGGAACAAGACAGACTCTTTATTCCTGTAATTTCCTGTAGTTCAATAATCATTTATTTTGTTCACCTCACACTAAAGCAACACAAAACTATAGACCAAAATCTGAAAACCATGTTTTACATGTAGAGTCGTTGTCACGCCTGGGGACATGAAGAGGCATGTGCATTTCATTTGCAAGCGTATTTGTGTATCTTTTTTTTTTATTCTAGGAAATCGTTTCAAGGGAGAGTGGAAAATGGGCATACTTTTGTTTCCAATGGATCTTCATCTCCTCTGTGTAATATTTCATATGGCATTGCAGCATAATGCCCTCCGCAGTGCACTGAATCGACAACTCGGAGGCGCTGGATCCTGTCCAGGTCCAAAAAAGAAGGAAAGAGATCTTAAAATTCACCAACATTGCTGTGATTCACCATGTGTTAAAGCTGAGATTCTTTGCTATTTATGCAAAGATTTTCAAGTAGGCACCCAGCGACAAGGAACAACTGTTTTTCTCTTCAAAATGATCCTACTGTTTTCATGTTATAGTTTTTTGGAATAAAGATTAAGAATTATTTTAGAATGCTGGAAACTGAAGTGGGTAGAAGTGCCATGAATTGGTCAACCGCTGTAGTTTACATTAATTGTGTGTAAACAAATTTGTGAATCTGACGAAACATATTTTACCTCAAAATCATAAGTAATTATAATTCGAAAAATATAATATTCATCAACACTGTCCTATGTAGGGATTTTGTAGCCTATCCAAGCATCTCAGGGCGAAGACAGGGATGGATGGCCAGTCCTCAAAAAGGCCTCAAAAAATAATATATATTATTTAAATTATTGTTATGTATTTTACCAGTCAAAAGTTTGGACACACTTGACTGAATTTATGCTTCTAACGCTCTTTGTGAATGAACAGCTTATGCTTATAAAAGCTTAAAATTGGCTTTATATAATTGTAATAGTATTTTTATCTACTTTGTATATTAATTTTTATTTGATGGATTTACTATTAAGCTTATGCGCTTTTTTAAATCTGGATATGTTTTCAGAAGAATCACTTAAACATATCGACAAGGCATGCTTTTTAGCAAAAGAGTATCAGAGTCTCGCTTGGTTTACAGTCATACAATTCATCACTAAGATCCTGACTGCTCCAGCGCAGCACTAAAAATGAACTATGGGAAACCATAAAAAGTTCATAATTGAAGTTCTGGTTCATTTTAAGTTAGATGACCAGATTTAGAGTCCATGGATAGAGAAGATGAGAGAGGGGTGGAAGACGGTTGATTTAAAATCAGTTGATGTTAACACAAGGAAAGACATGCTGGCTTTGGAGAGCCAAATGACGAGCACGATGATACATGTCATACACACCAGAGATACGACTGAGCTCGTTAATGATGTCATCAAAAGCTGTGGGCGAGAAAAAGACATCTGTAATATATGTTTTATGGTACATTTTCCAGCACACATTTACATTTTTCTATATTTGATAAGACAATCCTGAGAGACGGTACCTTTGCCAGAAACATCAATCTGTGACACATCTTGGCCTCTGTCATCAGTGATGGTTGCTTTATATAGTCCCACATCCTTCTTGGAGAACTACAATATCAGGATAAAAAATTGAAATAAAAAATACAGCATCTCACAAAAACAGGACTTTTTGATGCTTTTTTTAGAGCATTACTGTCAGAATAGGTTTTGTGCTACATTGTCTTGGGAGTAAATTATAGCTATTTCATATAGTTTTGTAAGAATAATTCTGACAAAAAAATGTCAAAGAATAACCAGCATTAAAAAAAATTACTATGGCACTGAATTGATTGAGACCCTTGGTTTCAATCCCTGGGAGTCAAAAACTCTTAAGGTTATTTCTCATGTGAAATGTTCTTATGGTAGTTCTCACAAGATCTCAGGAGCGATTACAACAAATACACTATAATTTTGTCATGCATCAAGCTTCTTTGTATTTATGGAAGTTGCACAAGCTGTTTTACTTTGTAACTGGGAAGAATATCGACTGAAACAAAAGCAGAGCAATTACCCATAACAGTCCAGCAGGGATTATTTGTCTTTTTACTGAAATAACCGTAGCTATGGCACTTAGCGTTGAGCATGATTCAGTGCACTTTTGATCAATTTTAAACTTTGATTATGGAAAACACAAACGACTGTTATTGACTAAACTAGTGATCATGAACCCATAAATGGGTCACAGGTCCGTTCTGTTCTCTGGACATGATGGGAAAAAAAAACAATTGTAAATGCTACTAATAAATTGCAATTAGCCATATAAATGTGTATAGAATCACAATATTAAGAGACCATGAATAGTAAAACATTCAAGAGAAGTAGAAAAAGATTCCCCTCATATTTAGTTGTTGACATCAAAAGGCTGTGCATCAAACTCGTTTTTTTTTTAAGTAAATTCACTAATGCTAATGGATAATACTAATACAATCTAGCCCAGTGTTTTTAGATCACTGTTATACAAAGTTCTGTCATGAAACTCTAGATGGTGCAGGCTGATAGGTTCTAACTCAATCTGATAGAATCTCATCATTGGTTTCTTTTCACGTCACCAGCCAATGAGCTTGCTGCTCAACATTCAAATACTTGGCTAGTGCTTGCTGTAGCAGTTGCAGCACGCTTAAAATTACCCTCCACCTTCCCCAGCTCCACCTGTATAGATCTGCTACGGGGTCATTTCATGTATGTTATATATGGATGTTGTTTCATATATGTTAAATGTGCAGCAGCAGTATTTCCTACATGCTCACAGCAGCATGTCTGTGGATGTATTAGCAGTAGCAAGTCTGTTCCGCCAAGACAAAACACATAAACATTGTTATGTCTCTCCGAGAGTTGTCATGACAGAAGTATTCACTGGAAATATTAAATAACCTGGAATATAATATTTTAGGTGAAATACTCTTTTAATATATTTCAATGTGTGATTTTAAGGTTTTTTGGTTAACTTTTGTATGATAAGCAATTTTGGCACAGTTAAAAACCACTTTGCTAAACTATTTTTTAGCTCTCGTGTTTATGGAATGAAGTGCTCACATTAGTAAGGGGGAACTTGCAGACTCCTGAGCTCAAGTCGGCAGGCACCTCAGGAATCACCTCTACATCGTCCTTATACCACTGGAACACAGAGTCCTTCTTCAAATTAGCCACCTGAAGGGGGTCAGACATGCAAGAAAATGCCAATATATCATCAGTCAGTCAAAGACATTCAGTTTGCTTTGGCTAAATCATTCCCATTCAACTTGCCTTGCAAACAAGAGTGACAGAGGCATTATCCCCAATTTGAGCGGACAGGAACTCCATAAAGTGAGGGCCTGAAAAAAATGAATTACAAAACTCGAAGAATCAGTGAGCAACCCTACTGCTAAATAAATAAATAAATAAGCCAGCCTAAGTGGTTTGCTAGTCTCACAGTCTGCCCAAGATGGTTTTTATCTGTTTTAGCTGGGAGGTAAAGTGACAAAACTTGGAACCTTTTCTAAATCTACTAGTCTGAGAAGAATATACTACATAATACAGTGTAAAAGAGAGACTGGCATATTATTAACAATCTCTTGTATTTTCTATGGAAGCAAGTCATACAAAAAAAAAAAAAAAACATAAGGGCAATGACAGAATTTTCATTTTAGGCTGAACTATTCATGTAAGCCATTTTTAAGCAGAAAACAAATAAACGATTTTGTAGATAATGCAAAGCTTGTTTGTAAAAAAGTAATACCAAGAATGGATTACAAAACCACAGGGTCTAATTCGCTCTATCTGAAGTTTATTTAAACAGCTACATCAACAGGATGAGTGCAGTACCCTCTTTCACACGAATGTACTCCCTCCTTTGGTATTCCGCCTCAGCCAGCGCTGCCTTGAAGGCTGGAAAAGGAAAATAAAGCAGGAACTATAAGAGGTCAGTGAGTAGAGTTCAACAGAGGAGCACAGTATCTCAAGATGAGAGCTGCAGAAGCCCTAGAGCGATGCTGGCTCTCACCGTCTCCGATCAGCACCAGAGAGGACTGGGTCTTGGCTCTGCCATCTTGGATCTGCACAGTGAAAGTGCCCTCGCTGTCGTCAGTGAAATGATCCATCACCATCTCAATAATGCCCGTAGCTGCATCGTGACTCATTTTAGTTTGCTGTGAAAAAGCCAGAGAGGTAAACATTTCTCTCCTGGGCTTTTCTTAGGAGGCTCATGCAAATAGAACAGAAAAACATAACAGATGGTAGTATTGCAATGGAGCTGTTTATTTGGATTGGTTATGTTTTCTTGCACAGCAAAGGTTGGAGCTAAGCTTAAAGTGATAGATCACTGAGAATGACAATTGTGTAATCCAATACAAAACCAGTCCATGCTGGTCTTTTCATTTCAATGAGAGGGATGCACCAATATTCAATTGCTGGCTGATATCGAAAAGCAGATAATTATGTCTGATATCCAGTTAAACTGATTAAAATTCAATACTACAAAAAAAAAAAACCACTAAAAGCTAAAATCACACAATTATAATGTACAGTACACAAGTTCATATTTAATTTTAGATATGTTATCGGTTACATTTAACAAGCAATTATTAAATTATGAAGATTTGTGACAAAGGATATTAGAATATATAATTAAATATACTATATGTGACCCTGGACCGCAAAACCAGTCATAAGGGTCAATTTGTATGATCTTTACTTAATGTCCTAATGATTTTTGGCATAAAAGAAAAATAAATAATTTTGACCCATACAATGTATTTTTGGCTATTGCTACAAATATACCCCTGCGACTTAAGACTGGTTTTGTGGTCCAGGGTCACATATTGGTCGATATATATCTAAAATAATCTGATAACAAATATAATACTAATATTTAGCATATCCCTAGAGACCACTTGCTGTCAAGTAATATTGTCAGTACATAATGACTTAGAAAATAGTAATTCACATTCAGAAGTCACATGGACCCTGTTTATGGTGCTTTTATTGTGCTGTTAAACATCTTCTTTTATGTTCCACAAAAGAAAGAAAGTCATATGGGGTTTGGAAGAACCTGAGAATGAGTAAATAATGACAGATTTTAAAATTTTTGGGTGAATTATCCCTTTAATATAGAACTCCCTGCTTACTGTTTATGAACTAATGCAGACATGTGGTTGCCTGTACCATTTTATTTGCAGTTGTTTACCTCACAGTTGACAAGCTCCTTGTTATTGGCAAAGAATTTGTAGGTCACAGCAGAGGAGATGCCCTCAGCTTGCAGCCAAAAGCGCATACGGCCTCTCTCTAGAATCTTATAGGCCAGTTCAGTCTTCAGAGGAATAACTGCGACAGAAGAGTCACGCGTGACAATCTGACATGTTGTCTTGTGTGTTCTCACGGTACATTCGCATGACCTTAGACTTGTGAAATAGCACATGCCGATCCTATATAAAAATTTGATTTTAAGCAATAAGTCTTGTTGCATGTTACAGTGAATTCATCATGCTAAAATGGTATTTTCAGGCACAGTGTGAAGCCAAATCCATTTAACTTTGGAAAAATCACTGCAATAGCCTCAAGTGTTTTATAAAACTATAGTAATTTGAAAAAAAGACACTAATGTTTAATAAATAGTATAATACATCATGGCATATAGTTTATTACTGTAGGGCCATTTATGGTTGCCAAGCAATGTAGCAACTAGGCAGATTAAAATTCAGGGTTCCCATACTTGAATATTCCCATCTATGACTTTTATAGATAAAATCATAGATCAGTGATCGATTTTTGCACTCACAAAAAAGTCATTTTTAGCCAAATAAATATTTCAGAGCAAAGAATAATTAGACAAAAATGTATATGCACTATAGAAATTTTGTAAACACTTCACAATAAAATTATATACATTAACATTAGTTAAAGCTGCAGTCCGTAACTGTTCAAAATTTATATAATAAGCGAGTACACCATGAATCCATTTTCCAAACCGTGTTTTTGGCCTGTCCTGAATCACTACGGTACACCTATAATAAGTGTTTCTATAAGTGTCGAGTGTGCATGTTGAACATGTTTCGTGTTCAATCTCTACTATGCAGGGTCACTTACTTGGGTTGCGTATGTCATAGCTGAGGGCCAACATCTTCTCCAGCTCTAAAGTGGAGAACAGAAGCAACTATAATTTTTTTATCAACTATCATCATTATCAACAATTTCAAGGCGATCACAACACAAATCTTTATTATTATTATTAAGGATCTTTGACATATATTATATTATGGCAGCAGTGTTGGGGGTAATGCATTACAAGTAACGTGAGTTACGTAATCAGATTACTTTTTTCCAAGTAACTAGTAAAGTAACGCATTACTTTTTAATTTACAAGAAAATATCTGAGTTACTTTTTCAATTTTTTTATATTAAAAGCAAACAAGCAAGCCCAGCCCAGATTTAAAAAGTAACGCAAAAGTAACGTAACGCATTACTAAAAAGTAAAAGTAACGTAACGCATTACTAAAAAGTAACTAAGTAACGTAATTAGTTACTTTTTTAGGAAGTAACGCAATATTGTAATGCATTACTTTTAAAAGTAACTTTCCCCAACACTCTATGGCAGCTATTTCACAGAAAATGATGTGATATCCATAATACAGATCAACATGCAGACAAGTATCTGATATCTGAATCAAATATGATTCAAATCTGTCAGTGGAATGTTTTGATAGTGTCTGGTACACTATATAATTTTGAGGAAGGGCATTAATAATGAAGGTGATAGTCATAATATATTAACAGGCCTCACCTTCTGCTAAGATCTTGTATCTGGCGGAGGCACCATCAGTATGTGTAACAGACACAGAGTATGTGCCCAAATCCTCTTTGTCTGGGTTCTTAAAAAGCAAAGTTGAGCTACAGAAGCAAATGAGCAAACATTAGTGTCTGTTCGGTGGAACAACAAAAGGAAAACAAACGGAATTGAATATGCACAGACTGTGGCATTGCCCTAAATATGCTTTGAGCGAATATGTATATGGTCCAGATCTAGTTAGGACACATCGTATGTGTGTTTTTCTTACTGGCTGCCTGATGTCTTGACGACGGTTCCCTTAGAGAAGTCAGTAATTTCTTGGTAGGACTTCTTCCACGCAAACTTTGATTTCTCCATCATTTGGCAGCTCTCAAAAGAGAGATAAATGTCACCTGATTCCTCATCGACGCCACATTTGATTTCCTGGGTGCCTTCAACATAACAGAAGTGGAGAAGAATTTGCGAACAAGTAGACAAGATGTGCAGACTACAAAACAGGTACTGTAGGATATGCCGGATTTATAGGACACAGTGGGATTATTGGTCAGTATATTCCCTATGATTAGAGAAAGTTGGGAGACACACTATTAATTATTTTCCGATTTAAATGAATATTATATTCATTTATACAACAGTTCGTTCTGGTTCTCAAATCTGATTGGTTGAGAACCGTGAGATATTGTACTGGTATCGCTACAGGAGCGCCCTTTCACAATTTTGTATCACTCCGCTTGTGCTAGCCGGGTCTATGTTTTTTTTTTTTTTATTCACTGAGCTAATCGTAGAGTACGTTAGACAGTTAATATAAGAAGAAACGTCTAGCTTCGCGGTCTCTCTCTCTCATTTGGATGCACGTCTTGCCGCATTGTTTCTCTCTTATAACCTCATTATTTCTCACTAACAACCTAACTGAAGCAGCATATGCCCTTGATACGAATTCTAAAAGTGACGTATGTTTAACTGTCAACTTGAGCTTTGAATCCGTGGCGGAAGGAAGTAGTTCCGCACAAAAGAGGGTTTTATTAGGCACTCCGTTGTTTCTTGCTTAATTACACACGTTCCGTCGAACTGTTGTATAAACGCAATATCACTCTCGTACGAGAGCGATACCGGCTCTATATCAGCGGCTGTGATTGCCTGCGGCCTCGTGCCTCTGGCCTAATCACAGCCATGCTGATATAGAGCCGGTATCGCTCTCGTACTCGAGTGATATTGCTCATATACTAATTTATATGTTTAATTACTAATATGGATATTTTCATTTGATCTTAATATTAATTAGATGATATTTCGCTCCTCTGAAGATCTAAAATGGACTACAAATGTCACATGTAAAAACGTCCCGTTGATGACATTTAACACCCCTGATGTCAAATGCCATTGGTTCCAATGTGTCTTGTAACCAAATGTCATTGAAATCAAACCTGATGCAGCACCATATTTCATTTTCAGTAAAAAATCAGCTTGCATTTCGGTCTGCCACACAAAGCTAATACGGTTTCAGAAGACTTATTATATATTTTATTAAGGATTACATATATTATATAATATTGTGCACCACTTTTATATGTCTCATTTTGTGGCTTTACCAGTTTTAATTCATTTGGTAACACTTTACAATAAGGTTCATTAGTTAACATTAGTTAACATGAACTAAGCATGAACAGCATTTATTAATCTTAGTTAATGTTAATTTCAACTTTTACTAATGCATTATTAAAATCAAAAGTTGTGCTTGTTAACATTAGTTAATGCACTGTGAATTAACATGAACTAACAATGAACAACTGTATTAACTGTATCATTAACTAACATTAACAAAGATGACTAAATACTGTAATAAATGTATTGTTCATTGTTTGTTCATGTTAGTTAATACATTAACTAACATTAACTAATGGAACCTTACCATTCATTTCCATTATTTGGAAAGTGGCCAGGATATTCTGGAAATTCACTTTTTCCACACAGCAAATAATACTATTCCAGTTAATAAGTTTAAGCCAAGAAAATAATTTTCATTTTAAATTATTATTATTAGGTGAATTATTGCTGTAAACTGTAAAAAGTGGTGACTTGCAGTTGTGACCTTGAACAATTTTTACCTGATTTAATGCATAAAGATTAGTTTTATTAATTAGTTGGTATAAATTAATGTATTTAGATGGATTCAGTTATGTTAAATAATATTTTTTATTTGAATAAATCCAGTTACTTTAGTTGCTACCATTTTTTTGGGTTTCCATTTTTTTCAGGTTAGTGGTATAAAAGCATAATGAAATTAATTTCCAAAAAAATTATAAAATGAAAAAAAATAAATAAAATAAAATAAAATGAAATAAAATGAAAAAAATAAAAAGAAAAAAGGTAAGTAGAAAAACATCTATATTCAAAATAAATTAATAAAAATAATAAAAGAAAAATGATTTTTTCAGAATACACAGCAATTTTTTAAAAGCAGTCAATTGAGAAAAACTGGATTTACTGCATCTACCATGAAGGCCTACCATTAAAAGCCGTGCTTGCACAGGTTCTGTGTGATCCTTTTCACTAATATCCTCTGCGTCTCAATCGGGCTCAAATTGATAAGCAATATAGACGACGTCATTGTTTACAATACAACCGGAGCACATGCCGCTATGTTGAGGGGCGGAACGTTTAGACGCGCGCACACTGGGCCAGCTAATCAATCAGAGCCCATCGTGTATTTCTGAGGGAGGGGCTTCATAAAAGCAGGAAATGATCAGTGCGTTCAGAGGAGAAGGGACAGAGAGGTGTGGAATAAAGGTAAATTATGTGAAAAAGAATGCGTTTTTTAACAAACGAAGCATTAACACATGTTAGACTGCACCCCATAAACACAATCAAGCCTATAAAAAAAACAGTCAACCACCCCTTTAAGACTAACATATTGATACTAAGACCCAAAAAACTTTCATTTTGATTTCATGGGGACTTTAAGCTGTCCGCTCTACAGTACTGGTTTACCTGGCAGTGCCTTGATGCACACAGGGTCAGAGGGGGTTGAAGCAACACCAATGCCCTGGGCATTCTCTGCCTGCACACGGAACACATAAGACTCGCCTGTCTCTAGACCCTTGACCTGCAAAAATTCAAACAATACGTTTGATAAAGCCATAGAGAAACACACCAGTATTCATACTTCCATGTCTAGCTGGAGTAATAGTACAAAATATCTGAGAATGTGAGTTTGACAGCACAAATCGATACCTTAAGATAGCAGTGGTTGACTGAACTTTCGTTGGCTTTGCTCCAGGTATTAGAGCCTTTCTTGGATTTCTCAACAAAGTATCCAGTGATGGCACTGGTGCCGCTGTAGACAGGAGCCTTCCACTCCACCACCACCGAATCATCCCTTACTTCAGTGAAGGTCACGTCATAGGTTGGACCTACCAAAGCCAAACACGAGGAAATCAATGCTCCAGTTCTTCATGCTTTCAATCATGTTTAATATCTATTTGGGTGAATCTCATGAAAACATGTCCAGGTGACATTTCAACCTAAAACGGGGGAAAAAAGTGACTTTAGTTTCACGTAAATTAATCACCCATATTCTCATCACTGTAATTAATCTGGATGTTTTACATCTGATTTCCATCTGAAATAGCATTTCTTTGATTTTAGGGTAAAACATGACTGGAACATATTCTACACAGCTTCCATCACGTCTAATGGTCTTCTGTATTTCTTGTCTGGTCTTGACTGTTCAATACACAAATGTCGAGAGGGAAAGAGTGTCTCAAAAATGTGTCTCGAACAACAGCTCTTTGTGTGAAAACAGCTATTGATCATCTTACTCGGTTCACTTGAAACCAAGTAAGTGCATGTTTTGAAACATGTACTATTATACTATTAATACTTCATTTTTTAATGATTGTGATATAGTGCAGTGGTGGCTGGCAGCATGGTGGTTGCAGGTTGGAACCCTGTAGGGTCAATATATAGCCAAAAGAGAGCTATAGAGAGCTCATATTCCCTTTGTAGACTTTAACAAGGTTTTTAACCATGCAAACAAGACATCTTGCTGCAGAGAATTTGTGCCTCTAATAAGAAAACTGTAAATCTGCTAAACAACAAGTACCAACGTAATGTTTGCCAAGAGTTGTGGGTTGGAAGTCTCATGCATGAGTGTGTTTTGCACACATAAGACTTTTACTTCCTCTAAAGTGTTCTTAGGGCAGCACATAATCACCAAAATGCAGCATATTCATATTATGCCAAACATGTATGACTTAATTTTTTTTCTGTGGAAATAAAGAGATATAACTATGGAGAATCTTCAAAGAGCTCTTTTCCAGCAATATTAATTAATTGAGTTAACTAATATGAGGCAAAAAAGTAAAGATAAAATAAAAATAAAACTAAATTGAGGCAAAAAAAGTAAAAATAAAATAAAATATTGTCATTGACTGCCATATGAAAGAAACATGCCAAAGATTTGTTGTCTATTTGCATTCAGATTCTCTATGGCGTAACAATGTGCTGTCAAAAGACCATTAGTTATTGAGCGTGTTACTTCAAATACGAGGAATGGAGAATAAGATTCCAGAGCTGCAGCGGAGGGAAGATTTTCAGTGACAGGGCTCAAGAATAAGGATGGCCCGCTGGCCCGGGACCAATGTGAAAGAGTTTTGTGCCAGTTTGCAGAATTGTCAATTGCCCTTTCGGGCCAGTGCTGCATTGCCAATGAAAAGCTTACATTTATTGATCTTGTACATCATTTGTTATGCCTTGGAAACTTAATCATTTGGCTTTCTGTGATGTAATCTACATTGTTGATTAAAATTCTGCTGCTTCTCCTGTAAAACTTAACAATATGGTTCCATAGCTGACATTAGTTAATTCATTAACTAACATTAACTAACAATGAGCAATACATTTGTTACAGTATGTATTAATCTTTCTCTAAAAAATGCTGGGTTGTTTTAACTCAACTTTGGGTCAAATATGGACTAACCCAACTGTTGGGTTAAATTTTTCAATTACATTTTTAACCCAAAAGTTGGGTTAGTCCATATATGACCCAAAGTTGGGTTAAAACAACCCAGCATTTTTTAGAGTGTAACGTTAGTTAATAATATACAAATATTCATTGTTAGTTTATGTTAGTTCAAGTCCATTAAATTAATGTTGAAATTAACATAAACTAAGAATAATAAATGTGTTAGAATAATTTTTCATCGTTAGATCATGTTAACTAAGGTAGTTAACTAATGTTAACAAACCTTATTGTAAAGTGTCACCAGTTCTGCTCACCAGGTAATAGCTGGTTAACATAGACATTTTGTTGAAAAAGCAAAAATGCCGTAGTTTTCCAGCGAAAAAAAAAATAAAATATATATATATATATATATGTGTGTGTGTGTGTGTGTGTGACCCTGGACCACAAAAAACAGTCATAAAGGTCAATTTTTGGAAATTGAGATTTATACATCATCTGAATGTTGAATAAATAAGCTTTCCATTGATGTATGGTTTGTTAGGATAGGACAATATTTGCCGAGATACAACTATTTGAAAATCTGGAATCTGAGGGTGCAAAAAAATCTAAATATTGAGAAAATTGCCTTTAAAGTTGTCCAAATGAAGTCCTTAGCAATGCATATTACTAATCAAAAATTAAGTTTTATATATTTACGGTAGGAAATTTACAAAATATCTTCATGGAACATGATCTTTACTTAATAGCCTAATGATTTTTGGCATAAAAGAAAAATCTATAATTTTGACCCATACAATGTATTGTTGGCTATTGCTACAAATATACCCAAGCGACTTAAGTCTGGTTTTGTGGTCCAGGGTCATATATATATATACAGCAGGGTAATTTCCAGCTTATTCTACATTTTCTTTTTTTCTTTTTTTTTTAAGGAAAACATTTGTAAATAAAATGTAAAACAAACCAAATTGGACAGACAAGGTCACTATGCACAATCTCTGAATAGAAAACAGCTGATGGAAGATTCTATAAAATTTCTCCTTCTGTGTTACACAGAACAAATAGCAGCACACAGGTTTTAAACGACATGAAAATGAGTAAATAATGATAGAATTTTAGAAGTAAAACTATGTGCACATGTCGCATTACCTGGCTCAGGCATGGTCCAAGCCTCACATCTGAAGGGAGCGCTAGGGGTCGAGGCATCACCCAGTCCAATCAAATTAGCTCCATAGACCCTAAACTGGTACACTGACCCAGCTGTCAGACCTCCAGTCTTAAGAAGGAACAGTTCATCTTAGTAATTATGTTATGCATATTATAAATTAATCAATATAAGCCGATGTAACAATAATATGCACAGGATGCTGCAATACATGGCCACCTTGTGCAGTCTTTCCTTAATGGGTGGGATGTTGACCTCCTTCCATGTCTTATTGGCCACATTGCATTTGTCAATGTAATAATCAGTGACCTCTGCTCCTCCAGAATGGATGGGCAGCTTCCAGTTGAGCACCATGGATTCCCCATCACAGTAGAGAAGAGAGATGTCATAAGGGGAAGAGGGCAGCTCTGTAGAGAAGACAGATTGTTTTAACTGGTCCTCCCCATTACTCAGTGTCTTGGACTGAGAGGAACATGCCTCATCTCTGGCTTATAACATGCACATTTCTATATATATATATATATATATATATATAATACTTTTATCCAGCAAAGATGCAGTAAATTGATCAAAAGTGATATTTCTATTTCAAATAAATGCTGTTCCTTTGAACTTTCTACTCAGCAAAAAATCTGAAAATATGTATCACGGTTTCCACAAAAATTCCACAAATGTTTTCAGCATTGATAATAATAAGAAATATTTTTGAGCAGCAAATCAGCATACAGTATTAGAATCATTTCTGAACGATCATGTAAAAGAAAAGGCGAGTGTAAAGGCTGCTTAAAATTCAGATTTGCCATCTCAGGAATAAATTGTATTTTAAAATATATGTTTTTACTGTATTATTTATCAAATAAATGCAGACAAAAGAGACTTCTTTTGAAAACATTAAAGAAATCTTACAGATCCCAAACTTGTGAATGGTAGTCTAAATAGAGAGTTTATTAATACAATAGTTTATTTTTAATTAGACTGAACTACATTTAGTAATATTTTTTGATAATTAAATAATTATATTTCTAATCAATTTGTCAGCCATCAGACTTCAAAATACAGTATTATGGGATTGCATTCTATACAAAGGATACCACGCTACCTTACAACTGACCAAAATATCTTTGAAAGCAGCACAATCCTGCAGACAGTCTCCATGTCAGAAGTGAATCTATGATAATAATGGCTGTGCAAGCAGCTCACTGGGTTTTTGAACAAAGTCTGCATTTTCTGAAAATGGTTGTGGTTGTTGCCCATACAAAACTTGCTATCAAAATGCTAGGGTGTTATGAGAGAATTTCAGTGCAGTTTCTAGGGTGTTCGGGTTAGTTGCTAGGTGCCTATTGGTGCAGTTCAAAAGGTTCCTATTATGGTCCCTGATACTCCTTGGGCCAATGTAAGTCTACATGTTTTTTTTTGTTTTTGTTTTTTTGCCTGTTTTTGACTGGTAAATACTGTAAATGAAACACTCTCCTCAAGCCACACAAGGTACCAATAATGTCCATAGCAAAAAATGGTATGACATGAGTTATACTACATCACAGCTGCTTAATTCCATCTAATAAATTCATCTAAAGAATTTAATTTCCTGACTACTGTTTTGACTGTCTCTTTACTATAGACAGGCCTGCACTCTTAGGACAAAAAAATGTAATCTTCAGTTTCATTTTTTGAAGTCTCCGAGTATGGAATTGTCCCCATGAGTTCAAACAGAGGATTGCTGTTAGCTAAAGCTAAAGAGTCACAAAGCAAACAGCTCTACAAATCATCCAGATCTGTAAAAATTTAATGGTCTGCTGGCTGAAATCATTTATACTTGTTGACTAAGTGTCCCACAGAGATACGGAAAGAAAAAACATTCTGACTCATTTGGTATAAATTATTAAACCAATTTAGCAAATGGTACAAGGTTTAAGGGAAATAAAAAATACTAGAGGTGGGTGGTATGACCATATATCTTATATATTCATAGTGTGATGGTTATATTACACTATGAATAATTTTATATCACAATATATATATGTGTGTGTGTGCATTATCCATGGTAAAATTACTGTAACACATTCTCTTATGGTTTCTTGCTTTAATAAACGCTATAGCAGAATATCTACTGGCTGAAACATTTCACCACTCTGCTCTACTGTATACTAAAGAAACGTTTGATGTCTAGAATTAATCTTTTCTGCAGTGATTGTGTGGCAACTTTCCTGAGCACTGCCTATGAATAAAGATAAATAAAGACCTGTTCCAACCTGTTGTAAAGTCATTAAAAAGAAGTCTTGTGGGCCATTTCTGGTGCGTGCCTTTCTTTTTGTCATTTACTACACCATGGGTTTATCAATAACAAACACATCCTGCTGAAAAACAGCTTTTGAATGTGTTTGGCAAGAGGAAAGGGATCAAAATAAATGGTTTCTTGATGGAATATCAAAGGAGACTGGGTTGTGAGAGGCAGACTTACTAAGAGCAGCTCTCACAGAAAGAGGGGCCGATTCCTGGGATTCGTCGCTGAGGCCCAGCTCATTGATGGCTTGAACGCGGAAGACATACGTCTCACCGGTGGTCAGTCCGTGCACAACAAACCTGTGAGAACCCAATAATGAGGCAGTGAAAGAGGAAGATTCTATTTCATTTTTTACGGAATAGCATCCTCAGAAAAAAACTTGTCAGCAACACAAACTGCTGATGTAAGCTTTCTGGTTTTCCAGTGGCATTTAAAGGGGTCATATGATGCGATTTCAAGTTTTCCTTTCTGAAATTTGTGATCACATTTTGTTTTTGTTTTTGTCAATTACCATATCATGCACTTTATGGCACTTTCCATTTATTTATGTCTGTGCCCCTGCTGTGTTCATGAAAGCTTTGCGTTCAAATATTTCAACTCAAATCAATATGTTGTGTCTAATTATTTACTTATGAGGCAAGTAGCTGTGTAATAAGCGGGATAATGTACATCCAGCCGGTTGTTGTCACAGAATAACCCCCTTCAGGGTGATACAAGACCTGATCCTGATCACCCTGTCGGGGGTTATTCTGCGATAACAACCAATAACAATTATATTGTTATAACTTAACAAATACAGCTTTTGATTTTAATATTGTATTAGTAAATGTTGAAATTAGCATTAACTAAGATCAATAAATGCTGTAGAACTATTGTTCATGCTTACTAATACAGTTAATTACTGTTAACTAATTAACCTTATTGTAAAGTGTTACCATTAGTACTTATAAAGCATTAATTCTACATGACCATATTCTACACCCCTAATCCTACCCGATACCTAAACTTAACAACTACCTTACTAACTATTAATAAGCAGCAAATTAGGAGTTTATTGAGGCAAAATTCAAATAATGGTTTGTTAATAGTGAAAATTGGACCTTAAAATAAAGTGTGACTGAAAAACATGACATTTAATTAATTTTTTTTAAGAACAACTGAAAGGTCTGTTTGAGCTGTGCCTTCTACTGTACAGACGTGAATTTACATTTCCTTCAGCCTGAGGCTTATTCATTTCACTTTTAAGGACTTTTACATTTGCTAAAATTAGAACTTTTTATATTAAAAACAAACAAGCAAGCCCAGCCCAGATGAGAAAAAGTAACACAAAAGTAACGTAACACATTACTTTTCATAAAAAGTAACTAAGTAACACAATTGGTTACATTTTTAGGGAGTAAAGCAGTACTGTAATGCATTACTTTTAAAAGTAACTTTCCCCAACACTGCTGAAAACAATATAGTTCTTAGTTCATCAATATAGTGGCACTTAGGGGTATATTTAGCATCTTTATTAACTCACAAGGTGTTTGACCAGTTTTTACTTCAGTTTTTGATGCCTGGGAATTAGAATGGCTTGCTCACCTAGACTGAATTGATTCCTGGGCATTTGATTTTATTTATTTTATTTATTTATTTTTTATTTATTTTTTATTTTTTTGTCTTTTTATTTTATTTTATTTTATTTTATTTAAAAATAGTTTTAAGAGTTTTTCTGACCTGATTTTCAGATGCTTTCATGGGAAGTGCCTCAAATCATTTAACCTAGACTAAGCTCATACCTGGTCTGCTTATGGGGCTTGTGATTGGCAGAGGTCCAGTCTTTAGATCCTTTCACACAAGAGTCAATGTAATATCCAATCAGGTTATTGGGATCCTTTGGAGGCGCCCACTGGATTAGAACAGAAGTGTCTGTCTCTCTGGTTGCAACGACTTGTCCAGGAGCCGAGGGCACACCTGAATGAACACAGAACTTCATTTCAGGGGTGATTTCACCAACCAGCCCAATCAATCCCTTGATGACCTATCATGCATGAATTAGTTCCACTACAGAAAGGCAGATCAATTGTTAATGACAACATAAAAGTCAGAGCAAACTTCAAAGATCTATATGCCATTTCATATGCATTTCAACATGTCAATATCTTAAGTGAAATACATCATAGGCACATTGGCCTTTCTGTGACATGCCTTTTTAGGGCATTTACCCTTCAGTTGCAGGGTTGTTACAGTACTGGAGGGCTCGGAAGGCTCGCTGAAGTGTAATATTTAGTTATTATTGTGTCAAAAAACAGAAATAATAAACAAAAAAAAATGGGTCTTAGATATCAGTTATTGGAATGAAACAAAAAATGGCATTGTTAAAACATAATTTTGTTTTAAAATATATAATTAAAACAACAACATGAGCTATCTCTAAGCTATGAAAGATTAACTTCTGAGAAATAAATTGTTCCTGTGGGCTGTGCTGCATCATTTAATGCAAAACAAAAACTAATTTAAAAATATTCTTCTTAAACATTCTTACACTGTAGGTGTTTCTTAATGGATAAAAGGTGACATAAGAAGAAAAGTAAACTGCTGAAACAAAGTTTGTGACTATTCGGCTGGGTTAACGTCTGGCAGTGAGCTGAAACTAACCTTCTCAATGTAATACCACATGGGGGCTTTGCTATGGTAGACTGGAGGGACCCAACTGAGCACAACATATGTTCGGTCCGTCTCTGAAGCACAGACTTTAGAGGGAGGTCCTGGAGCTTTTCCCTCGGCTGCAGGCAAAGCACATCAAACAGAATTACTGTTTCTACCCTGAACACATACCCACACACCAATACACACACATTTACACACACTAGGAAATATCCTAGCAATTTCACTAGCATTAAAATCAAGTTTAATATCATGGACTGATATGTGAATATCATCTTTGCCGCTGCTATATACACACACATACACATATGCATGCACATGGGTGACACTGGTTGATGTGTTCTTTTCAACTTGAAAAAGAACCACAGATGTTTGTGCGTTCCCTTCCTGATGGAATTCTCATCAAAAACTAATCAGTACCTCTCAGAAGAGAACCAATTATGGGCTAGATAATTATTGCTAATTTTGAAAGCAAAAAGCATGAAAAGAATAGGGGGGGAAAGCACTAAGTGACAGCTGCTGTCATCTAATGCATAATACCAATGTAAAGAGACACAAAGAGTCTGCTTTGAAAAAAATAATGTTTCTGAAAGTAATTTTCAGATGCAATGAAAACATTTAGCTTTTAATCTGTGTATTTAACAGCCTGGGAAACCTCACCGACTAAAATCAGGGCGACCACTACGGAGACGGCACCAGAGGTGAAGTGACCGAGGTGGCCGGGCCGGGCCCCCTCAGGCCCCCCCGTGGCGCCGACGCTGACTGTATATATAATAAATAAGGAGTTTTGTTTGTGATTTTGATTAAATTGACAGCCCTGCTCAAAAGTACTATTCATTTTAGGCAAACCTCATTATTTTAGTTAGTGCATGTTTAATATCAGAACTAAATGTAAAGCTCACATTTGTTTTGACTAAAGAATTTTCATGCTTATTCAGTTTGTGATTACTGTGTATGGCTAAAATATAATTTTTTAATATAATAGAATAGAATAAACACAATTTTATAGAGACTGCATCAACAAAAAGTAATTTATACTCTATGAAATATTTTAGAACTTGCCATATCTTGCCATTTTTTTTTATTATTATTATAGAAATTACTTTTCCATTATTTTTAAAGATTATATTCATTTGCATGGTTTTAACATGCATTGAAATCAAACTTTTAAATTTGACCAATTTTTTCAGTAAATAAATCCAAGTATAAAGTACCTTCAAGGTCATCATAGTAAGTCACAACGTCAAGTCTTCCACCTAGTTTTGTGGCTGTTGAAACAAACAGCAGTACATTATTAACACATACAGTGTCGATCACTAAATGTAACTTCACGAGGACTTAGTTTTGCTCACCGTGAAGTCTCTCAAACTCTGTAGGGTCCAGAGAAGCAATGGGCTCAGACATTCTGGAGGGTCTGCCAATGCCGCGAGAGTTGACGGCACGTACGCGAAAGTAATAAGAGTGTCCCTCAAACAGGCCCTGCACGGGATATTTGCAGATCTTCGCAGGGGAGTCGTTACACTGCACCCAGTTCTCTGTTCCAACTTCACATCTGCCCAACAAGAGTTAAAGAAAAAACATGAACAATGAATATGGACAATAGTCAAGATTATCCTATCATTACTTCCACACTGCTGTGAAAGAGGAGATGATACTTCCCACTTTTGCATTCCGAGGAGATGATATGAGCCAAGGAGCATTCATACGTAATTGCAGATCCATGCATCACTTAACAGTCTGATTACTGTCCGACTAGAGTAAATTTCAGCTCAATACTAATGCAGCTCAAAGTGACAGGGAACAAACTAATCACAGCGTCTATTAGCCAATGCAAAGAATATGTGTTGGTAAGCAATTTTCTAAGTAGCTTCATTGGAAGGGACAACAAACTTTCTTTTGTATTACAGAGAACCTACAATTAAGCAACTTGAATGTAACACTTAAAACTGTAGGCTTTGAGCACACTTTGTCTTAGTCAACAAAACCCACATTTATTTTAAAGAAACATAGCGCAAGCATTTTTAAGCAAAACACTGCATAAAAAGAAGTTTTTAAACAACAAAACACAGAGTATAGGGCGAAAGCAACTGAGAATTGACAGCATCCTTTTTTGGGCCCACAAACAGATATTTGCGACAAGGCAAATATAGGTGGGGCCTGTCAAACATACATTTTTGCTATTAAAAACGGTGCACAGGCTGATGAAAGGAAGTAATGCAGAGTTCCGGGATGTACTTTTAAAAACTGCACTCATGCGTGAGATGCGGAAAACGCCAAGAGTACGGCGCAATGGACAAAGACGTCTGTTTAGTGCCTTTTGCATAGTAAAACGATTAAAAAGCAGAGAAGTGGAATGATTTCTCTATGAACGCCCCTTACTATAAACAGCAGTTTCAAAACAGTAATTTACCGGTAATGTTACAACAACTCATCTTGGGAAAATTGCCAAAACTGATTTACCAGTATTTCTTAAAAGGTCATTTCCATGATATGATCTCTAAAAAGTAATTTGCTGGTCATTTCCGGAAGGGGATGTACTGTATGTAAAAAAAACCTTGATTTCTTAAATGGTTTCTAATAAATATTGCATATAAAAATCTCTAAAATATCATATCCAACATCCCTTTCGATTCCATTTACCGACTAGTTTCTGTGGATGGCAGGTTAATTGCATCGGACACATTACGTTAACATTTGTCAATCAGGTAGATTCCATAATAATCCTCATTTGCATAGAAAGAAGTCCGGTTTGCAATGAAAAGACTGAGAGTGACTTTATTTAAAAACTCTCAGTAGGCTGTTCTAGCGCATTTCGCACCTGATTATATTGCAGGTGGTATGTGGATAAGATGTACAGTTTTGCGATGAAAAGCTGCATGCTAAGCTAGTGCAACTGTTTAGTGAATTCATGTTGAGTGCACAAAATCAAGATAAAAGTATTGTGACAAAACCAGTTTGTTAAATGTAAATGAAAACCTGGCTCAGTAAAAGTTAAGCTAGGAAAAAAAAACATCTAGCAGATATTTGACAATTTTTTATCTAATGCCATGACATTCAGACATTTTAAAGTGTGAAGTGTCCAAATATTTCTTGAGGCCACTGTATCAAATAACTTGCATAAATGTATTCCATAAAACAACTCCCACTGGGAAGACACCTTAGTCAGTGCAGTCACCTGTCAACAAAGTATCCAACGATGGGGCCTTCAGTGGTGGTGTTAGGAGGTTTCCAGGACACGATGACATAATCTCTATTTGCATCATGGATCTTAATGTCCATTGGGGCTCCGGGAGCTTGAGGAACTGGAGGTGGACCATCTGCCAAGACAAAACATGATGACTCCTACACATCACTGATTCGCTGAGGGAATCACTCCGAAACAGATGTATGTGCTATATGAGATGAATTATGCTAATCCAGACCTTTAAAGGCCAGCAAAAGAATCACATAAAATTTTCAACAAGCCTTGGAAAAGTTCACAACTCTTTACCATCAACGAAGACGTAAGCCCTGTGGACCGCATCGCCTCCCTTGGTCACCATGCGGAGGGTGTAAAGACCCTCATCATCCTTAGCGAGCTGACTAAGCGTGATCTTGACAACACCTCCGCCAGACTCCATTTTCACCCACCTGGACTCTTTCAGGAGATGCTCTGGAGGGCCCAAAAAAACAACATGGGGTATGAGAGGAGAGCAAATGAAACTATTACTTTTGTAGAATAGACTGCAGATCTGGAAAGTGTAATCTGATGATTCGAGAAATGAGATTGGGGTGAAATGAGTCATACAAATGGACATAAAAAGCCATTTTGTTCTGTGCATGACTCGACTGCAAAACACACACCTACAAAACAACCCGAAAATTAATATATGACCAGGGGTGAATGCCACAATAAATAAATGCAGCTGTCATTGGTTGTATAGTCATGTAAAATACAGCAAGAAATGTATTTCAGACTAACTATATCGCATTATTTATGCATTTGAAGAAGTACAATGCATTACAAATGTAGAATAAATATTAAAATAACAATAAATAGTGATAATCACCTAAATACATTTTATTCAAATATTTTAATACAAGAAAGCATTCACTTTTTGTGAACTTCCATGAACATTTTTGAGTGATGACACATACAAATCATTAAATCAGAGTTATGATTCTTAACACTGTCATACTCACATATGTGAAACTACTCTAATGGCTAAATGAAAAGCATTTTAACTTTATTGCAGTATATACATTATTGCATATAGGCAAAATGCGTAATTTCTGCGTCAGTAGCTGCATAAAATGGAATAGCAATTTGTTTGTTTAAGCAGCCATCATAAAACACTAGCTCAACCAATGATATGCATTTGGGGCGGGACATCTGTTTTCTAATTAATAGATAATAGGGGATTGAAAAGTCCTTCTTTTTCACATAATTTTTGGTGCACAAAAATGACCGTTCATTTCATATTCAGCAGCTAGTATAAATCTCTGTAGGGTCGGTCACACTACACTTTTCGTTCCATAGGCTTCCATTCATACGCATGTGAATGTGCGGGAGAGTGGAAACACAAGCTCATGCTGTGAGAAGACTTGACCTAGACAGAATTCCAAACCTAACAAAATAGTAAGCGGCGCCCCTTCTCCCCGTTTTGTTTTCGTTTGATGAAAGTTTTTTGTTTTCCCAGTTCCTCCCTGCGGCTATGGAAGTTGCCGCTTGGTTTGCCGCCCTAGCTCGCCTGGATCTCCCGTTTGTGGAGTATGCGTGGGAGTTCTGCGGGATCGCCGCGAGTACGGCGTTAGACGACGCGACGCTCCACTCTCTGTTCTGGATCAGGGCTAATTACCATCGCCCCGCGGACCTCCCAGACACCACTGGACTAAGTTGGAGGGAAGGGATCCTCCGGTGTCTGGAGAGTGTCTGGCCCCGATCCAGAACCAGCACACCGTCATGCCTGCCGGCCTCTCCTACGTCAA